GTACCTTCCAAACGCTGCTACTAGGAAACACGAATGGATACCAATAACCCTCTAGTTACAAACGCGTTGTCAAGAAACAAGTTTGAAACTATCCACAGATTTTTTCACTTGAATGATAACAGTAAAATTGATAAGAATGATAAAATTTATAAGATTAGACCCTTGATCGACCACCTAAATAAAATATCACAGGAATGTATTTCTCCATTAGGAAAAAACGTATCTGTAGATGAGGCAATGGAGCCTTATTATGGGAGACATCATATGAAGCAATTCATTAGAGGAAAGCCCATACGCTTTGGCTTCAAATTCTGGTGTTTATGTACCTATGATGGATATCTCGTCAAATTTAATGTTTATACCGGTGCAGGAGACAAAATAGAAGGCAAATCACTTGGCTCAAGTGTAACTGAGAAACTGTGCCTAAATTTTTTAGAACAAAATAGTACCATTTTCCTAGATAATTATTTTACCTCTATTCCTCTATTAGAAACCCTAACAGCTAATAAACTATACTGTGTGGGTACGGTAAGATCAGATCGAGTAGAGAAAGCTCCTCTCAAAGATTTAAAAAAGGAGAATAGGGGTAGTCACTACACAATTCATGACTCAACATCCAACATAACATTGACACGTTGGCATGACAATAGTCAAGTTACTATTATATCAAATGTACAAGACAAAACCCTTTACCAGACGAAAGGCTCGTGTAAACGATGGTCGAAGAAGGACAAATCTGCTATCCAAGTTGATCAACCGTCTCTAGTACATGTATAATAAAGGAATGGGAGGTGTCGATCGATTCGACCAAATGAGAGGCTTGTATAGATCTAGGATTAGGTCGAAAAAATGGTACTGGCCGTTGATTCGCTTTTGCCTGGACGGATCTATTGTCAATATGTGGTATTTATATCGTCAGGCACTTCTATCAAGGAATGAATCTATATCAATCCTTGAATTTCGTAGAAGAGTAGTCCTAGCGCTTTTAGCTGCGCCACCTTCAAACTCAAATACTGGTCCAAAACCAAAACTATCCTGTAAGGTTCTATCAGAAGTTCGATACGATGGAAAAGAGCACTGGATTGACCGACGGGAGACGCAGCGTCGTTGTGGAAAATGTACAAAATTTTCCTGTGTAAAATGCAATATAGGTCTACATCCAGATAACTGTTTCCGACAATATCACCAGAAGTAACCTTTAGGCTTTTTATGGATGTATTATTCTATAATTGTTTTGAATATATATTAGATATACCATTGTTTTTTACTTTTTTCATCCTACTGTAGCCCAGCGTATGATTTATCATACATCAAAAAAAACTACTTCAAAACCATAATTTTTATAAAATCATAATTTTATATGAAAATGTTACCAAATAATGATAACATATCAAAAGATTAAGTGAAATGCCAGAAAAAAATAATTCTGGGCATTAATGGGTTAATAAGCTGAAGTTTGGGACATTTATCTTAAGAACCCCATACGAGCCGAATTCTGCCACCATTTATTTCAGAACAGGCAAAAAACACATCTTGTGCAAAAAAGCCGTTCCCCCCCACATTAATTGAGATCAAGGGCGGATCCAGCCATTGAGTCAGCGGGGGTCACTTAGTCACAGTTGTGGATTTAGGAAGCTGACTGATTGGTTGGTTGGTGCTAGTTGATCGGTGTGGGTCCTCCTAGTAGATGTTTATGACCTCCATGAGCCTCCCTGGATCCCGATTGATTGAGAATTTCTTGCTTACCGCCTGAAGCCGGCCCTGACTATTCTGCTACTAAAATGATGAAAAACTGCTTCCTAGCATCTAACCACAGATAGTCATAATTATACTTCCCAAAATCAGCAAAGGCGCATGTATGACACTTGGCATCACCCAAAGCCCTGCCTGAATGTTACATCTCCTATTCAACCGCGGTGCACGTCACACGGAGGTCCACCAAAGCAAAAATAGCGGATGGGGTCCAACAAATTATACTCTGCCAGTTGTATCACATGCAAGACACAACTATTTTCTCTATAAAATTTCATGATTATCATAAAGCTAAGTGTACTTTACCAGTTGCTATTTTTCAAGGCTTTAGCTAAGGCATGTTTTTCTTCTGCTTCTTTTGTTAATCATAAGTTGTTGTAACCACATATACCTTAGTTATCCGATCCTCGAAGAAGTGCTTATAGTGCTAGTGCCCAATTTGCTGTTTTTTGCAGTAGGAACATTAGCATTAATGCTAAATAAATCATCAACAAACAAACAACGAAGACGCTACATGGTCTGATATTTTAATTGAACTTTTATGCATGTCATCATTCCTCATCAGATCAAAAATTACCATAACTGCCCATGTAATTTTTCCAAGAACAGACCTAGTTATAGATATAAAATTGTCAGTAATGAAAAACGGATATGTAGTTGAAAAACAATATTAACACTTGTAAAATCCAGGATCCAGGGAGGCCTCTCCACAGATCTTCTCCTTGGACTAAGCGCTGGTGGCTGTATAACATAAACATACTATTATTTTAATCCATTTTTGTTAGATACTAGGTTTCTACCATCCCTGCACCTACCTATAAAGTGCTAGTCTAATTTCAATAAGCATTATACATTGTAAGCTGTGCAAGCAAGGGAATACCCAGGTCAAAACTGAATGGCGGGCACCTTCAAACAATTTTTTGGTACCCATGCTTGATATTTTCTTTCTATTTGCATTTATATAGAGTCTTCCATGACGACTTGAAAATTCATATGGATATGGAAAACTACTAGGATTGCTTTTTGGAAACATTCAATCAAGCCAAATGTGAACCATGTTGTGAAAGGAATTGTACAGAAGGATTTATATATTCTTTAGAGTTAATGCAAAGGCACTTCATCTCGTAATAAGAAATTCTGGCTAACTTTTTTATCAAACTTCAAAGTTATGTCTATAGAAGAATTGGGAAGGCGATGAATACATCTTCAAAACGAGTATACCCAGTTCGTTGAAACATTCATTTTTTGCCGAAAAGTGAATAAGAGTATATATGAAATAGTAGCCAAAAGTTAAAGCCTTGCTCAAGCTATCCAGCAACGTAACTGCTGCAACAAATTAGGCATACAGGGCGAGTGTTTATTATCTAATTGAACAATAGCTCCATAATTACTATAAGACATAATCAATTTTGATCTCTTCACGGTGGCGTACATAGAACATTATGTTAATATGACTTTTCGTCTCTTATCCCGCGTATCAACTTTGATTTTTCTTATGTAAGCTATTTTTCCATAGGCGAATAGCTTTTAATACTGATTTCAAATATTATACCATGTCATACACTATCATAAAAAAATGTTCTTGGTTAAGCCGTCAAATTATCATATATCTATTCATTTATTTCATAGTATATCAAAGATTACAACATATTACGCATTGATATAAAACTTCAAATGCAGTTGGTTTAAACTCATCGAATGAGGAACAACATAATGTAACTCATTTACATATATCATTTAAGGGTAATGATGATATCGAAAACGGTATAACTTAAAAAACTGAGAGTTGAAGCTGAAATGCTAATTATGCCATGGTGTAGAAATAAAAAGTGTAAGTGCAAAGTTATTGTGTAAATTATTTGAAATTTGTAGACAAATCGAATGTTTAAAAAGTGTTGCCAGGAAAAATTACAACGACTAAATTCGAAATACTTTGGATTTCCAAACTGTCCAAGGTCCTTTTTTTACCTACGCAATTTGCTCCCATTGAGTACCCTGCGTTGTATATTTATCATGAGATGTGATATTTGAGCTTGTAGCCTGGATGTCAGTTATTATTGATGCAGAAATCAACTAAAGGTACGGGCCACAGTAAATGCAGATCGTGTGACATTCGCTGTACCGTTTCCGAGATCCAAAAGGCGAGATTCGAATTTGAAATACACGTAACTGCTTTTAGCAAAATTAAGTTTATATCCAGCGTAGATTTCAACTTATCCTAATGATTTCTCATCTAATAGATGTGGCAAACCCTCTGTACCTGAATAATTTAATTTTTATAAAAAATATTCTCTGCAGCTGCGTCCCCTGCCCCCCGCCTTGGGTACGCTCTTGTGTGCAATTAAGCTTACACACGTTGAAAGGACAGTGTAGACAAACTTAAAGTATAGAAATTAAATGTATGTATTTTTATTTCTTTTTTAGCCTTTTTAAAGGGTATTGTAAATTTTGGAAGGCCTCCATTTTGGGTTAGCTAGCATCAATGGTGACCCTATATCTTTTTAAATCAGAACTCAATTCTCTCTATTATTGCCGCGGGTCAAGATAACAGTGATAATTCGGTGCAATGTAATGGTTTGATGTCTCCAAGACTGAAAAGTGGCGCCCAAAGGCATACCCGTTTTTGGTGGGTATCCAAACTTTACCAGCAGATTATTCGCTGTAACTTGTCAGAGTTCAGATCACTGCGGACAGATGATTGTTCCTGTAGGAGTAATAGATGCTTCATTGTTGGTATCAGAAAGTCATTAAAACAGTAGACAGTGTTCCAACGTGTATTTATCTTGCAGTTTAAGATTAAAAAAATTCTTAAAGAGCAATTCACAGTGCATCAAATCCGCCTCAAAAGTGTCTGTTATAGGATGTTTAAAAATATTTTCTATAAGCATTTGTGTTTATAATAAAAATGTTCGCTTAAATAAATTGATCAAAACTGAATATGTCCATCATTAAGGCCCAACCAAAATCATGTATGTCCGGAAAATCAAACAGAACTTAACATGTCCAAGAAAATGTGTGTTTTATTTCGAGCTCATTGAAGTGAATGATGCCTCTACACTATGTTGGAAGTAACATTCAGGCACAAGACCGTAAGGCGGGTGCTCTTGTCGCTGGACATCAACAAAGCTTCTGGTCCGGACTTGAGGAGGCCTGTTCGACTGATCGATGACTCTTCTACCGCTACACCTTTGCTCCTTAGAGCTCTCCTCTATAATGGCACCGCACGATGTGCCTGACAGTACAGACCCGCCTCCCCTCCTAACCGTGTCGAACTTCGTACACCAAGAAGTGACAGATACGACCGCTCCTTTTTCCCCAGGATGTCGAGATTGTGGAACAATCTACAAGAGGAAGCGTTTCCCAGTTCTAACCTGAGGCAGTTCAAAAATCGCATTAACAAAATTTCTGTGGGATCCTCATAGCAGCCGCGGTGTCCTGGGATTTAGGCTTCTGCCTGCGCGGCTGCTTCGGCGTCAAAATAAGTATCTGCCATCAGCTTTTAGACCACGAATGATGAGACGATTTTAACAGTAAAGCAATGTATTCATGAGCGCAATTCGAGTCGCGTATAAAAGCAAAGGTGGGGCGACTTTAGCTGCATATTTCAAACCGATCAGTGCGAAGTGAGAGGTGTGTTAGGATGATTTCTTTATATCCGTGTTTACTTCTGTTAGCGCTTGCCGGTTCCACATTAGCATGTAAGTTCTCGTTTTACAGACACTATTCAGGGTTGCTGGTAATTCGCTGTATTCCTTCCAAGTCGTCATAAAATACAACAAACTTCGCCCTATACAGGGTGTTTCAGTTTATTGTTGCATAACTTTAAGATTCGATAGAACTTTTAAAATTAATGCATAAAGTCTATATAAACATGGGTCGAAAAATGCGTGGCTTCCGAAATACAGGGTGTTTAAATTTACTTTCTAAAATAGTTTTTTTAAATATTTCGAACAATATTTCATGTATAACAGTGAAAATTGGTATACGAGGCTATTTCAAACCGATCAGTGCGAAGTGAGAGGTGTGTTAGGATGATTTCTTTATATCCGTGTTTACTTCTGTTAGCGCTTGCCGGTTCCACATTAGCATGTAAGTTCTCGTTTTACAGACACTATTCAGGGTTGCTGGTAATTCGCTGTATTCCTTCCGAGTCGTCATAAAATACAACAAACTTCGCCCTATACAGGGTGTTTCAGTTTATTGTTGCATAACTTTAAGATTCGATAGAACTTTTAAAATTAATGCATAAAGTCTATATAAACATGGGTCGAAAAATGCGTGGCTTCCGAAATACAGGGTGTTTAAATTTACTTTCTAAAATAGTTTTTTTAAATATTTCGAACAATATTTCATGTATAACAGTGAAAATTGGTGTACGAGGCTTTTTTGGTACGACAAAACGAACCATGGGCATAGTTTTACTGTAGCCGCTAGAGGGCGCTCTCTACTGTACTTGTAGTGTATTAAAATGACCGAAAAATTTTTCTTAGTGCAATTTTTTGCTTTTTGAATAAAAAACTGATTCTTCGCACTTTTCAACATAAAAAAGCTCTCTTGTGAATTTTCGTTACAGTTAGCCGTTTTTGAGATATTTCGATTTTTAAGGTTCGATGCATTTTTCATTATTTATGATAAAATAACGTTAAAAAGTCAGTATCTCGATAATTTTTAGAAGTAGGCTGTGCCTGCAAATATCTTTGAAATTGAAAGCAGAATAAGGTTAAACGTCAATTAGTTTTGTTGTCCGTTGAAACCTGAAACGTTTTTTTGCAATTGTGAATGCACGAAATTTAGTTTCTTTGACCTGTTTTTTAAAAAGTTTTATTAAAATGCCATTTTTATTCTCCAATCAAGAGTTAGCGGATACTCATTTTGTGTATGGCTTTGTAAATGGAAACGCAGCAGAAGCAGCCAGAGAATACGCACGACGATTTCCAAACAGACGACATCCAACTCGCTCAGTATTTGTAAGAGTGCATCGCCAAATAATTGAAAATGGTTTTGGAAATCTCCAAAGGGATCAAAACATAAATGTTCGTCAGCGCAGATTTACCCGTATGATTCTGCGTGAGTTTGATAAAGATCCGACCACAAGTGTTAGGAGAGTTTCTGGTGCCTTGGGAATTTCAGAAAGCCATGTTCATCGTGTTCTTAGAAATGACCATAGACGTCCGTACCATTTGCAACCTGTGCAAGGACTACAGCCAGAGGACGGAGAACGAAGAATCTCATTTTGTCAGTGGATTCTTGATAGAACTGATAAAAATAGGGAGTTTTTAAGTACGTTATATGGACCGATGAGTCATGCTTCACTAGACGTGGAGTGGTAAATTTTTATAATCAACATATTTGGTCGCATGAAAATCCGCATGCAGTTAGGGAAAGAAATTTTGAGCATGAATTTAGTGTGAACGTGTGGATTGATATCTACCGTAATCGACTATTTGGACCCTACCTTTGGCTGCAAGGTTAAATGCTGCGACCTTCTTGGAATTTTGAAAGGCTGAACATGCAAATATGTTGGATGATGTTATGTTAGATTTAAGAAGATTGGCCTGGTTCCAGCTTGATGGTTGTCCATTATCGAGAATAGTTAGAAACTGGCTGGACGAAAATTATCCAGAAAGATGGATCGGCCGTGGAGGACAAGTCGCCTGGCCTCCACGATCCCCTGACCTAAATCCATTAGATTTCTGTGTTTGGGGAAAAAGTGTACCAGACTCCCGTAACCACAAGAGATATGCTAATAGACAGAATCAGGAATGCATGTGATGAAATAAGGCCTTATTTGAATAATGCTATACCACGTTCGATCATTCGTAGATGTGAATTGTGTATTGAACAATTGGGTTTACATTTCGAGCAACTACTTTAGATTTTGTATATTTGTCCTAAATATCCAATAGCATTTTAGTTGTAAATAATTAATTTAATTTGTTAAAAATAATATTGGAAAATTAAGCAAATTAATATTCTGTTTTTTTGTGTTTATTTGGAGTTAGGAATTATTGCTGTGTTTAAAAACACAATCTAAACGATCATCTTAATTACTTGTAATGCCCAAATCGAAAATGTAAAAAAATATTATTTTATCATAAATAATTAAAAATGCATCGAACCTTAGAAATCGAAATATCTCAAAAACGGCTAACTATAACGAAAACTCACAGGAGAGCTTTTTTATGTTGCCAAGTGCGAAGAATCAGTTTTTTTATTCAAAAAGCAAAAAATTGCACTAAGAAAAAATTTTCGGTCATTTTAATACACTACAGGTACAGTAGAGAGCGCCCTCTAGCGGCTACAGTAAAACTATGCACATGGTTCGTTTTGTCGTACCAAAAAACCCTTGTGTACCAATTTTCACTGTTATACATCAAATATTGTTCGAAATTCGAAAAACTATTTTAGAAAGTAAATTTAAACACCCTGTATTTCGGAAGCCACACATTTTTCGACCCATGTTTATATAGACTTTATGCATTAATTTTAAAAGTTCTATCGAATCTTAAAGTTTAAAGTTATGCAACAATAAACTGAAACACCCTGTATGTTTTATATAAGCAAAAAACAATAGTTTTCGAGAATTTTTTAGCGATCACCCAAAATTGGACTTTAGACAATAAAAAAACTTCGTCAGAAAAAGCTTTCGTAGTTATTACTCAAATTGAGCGAATACAATCATTAAAGGTGTGACAATGCTATTTACAATAAATAGCAGCTAGCCTAACAAAATGATTTCGTTTTCAATTTCACTTAGAAAAAAGTTGTGTTTAGCTCTAAATATTGCTAATACATTGGAGGTATCAATATCAGTATGAGAGCATTTATTTGTTAACGAAATCATGTCACACCAAAGTAGGTCAAGTAATCATCCCTTAATTAAATGATAATTTGAATATCTGTTTCAAATCAACGTACTAATTTCTCACAAATCTTGCGTAGTTTGAACCTCTTAGTTGAAAATGAGTTCTGCATTTAGTTTCTAGCTCCTGCGTTTGTCATGTTTGAAACAAAAATGACCCTCAGCCACTTTGCCGTTCTTACGATGAACTATAGAAATTTCTCCAGTATATTGAAATCGCTGAAGCCTGACCACTGCCTATTGTGTTTTCGATATGTATCGACTTAGTAGCTCCAAAGACGTTCAGCATTCGGCGTTTGGGAAAGGGAAGATAAACATTTCGATGGGACTCAACAGTGTCTCTGAAAAACAGGCAATATTCCCGTAACGCAGCCAAGGATCATTGAAGGATTCTCTACGTCTTTGAAGCTTCTGAGGAACTACATATCGAAACATACAACACGGACAGGGATCAGGTTTCATCAAATTCGATATACTGGTACCAATTTCTTTAGCACGTAGATAAATCTCGCAAAACAACAAAGGCGACTTTTACTTCAAAGATGATAAAAGCAGGAGCTAACAACCAAACTAAAAACCTTATTTAGAACTAAAAGGCTCGAATTGGCCATGATTTGTGAGAAACGAGTACTCACGTTCATTTTGAATAGTTATTAAGATTATCATTTAATTAAGGGATGATTATTTGATTAACTGTAAAGAATTAAATGCTCTCATACTGATGTTCAATTTCATTTTTGAAAGCTGACAATATGGGCAATTTTATCTGCTAATCTGTAATCGCACTTTTTTCAGCTAGACACAATTTTGTTCTAAAAAAAAACTGAAAAAATAAAACTAAACTATTTTTTTAGGATACCTGTGATCCTATTTTATTTTGTGTGTTTTTTGCACTTTTTATGATTAAATTCCCTTTATTTGAGTACAAACTACGAAAATCAATCTCAGTCTCACTTATATCTTACATAGTTTTTTTATCATTTAGAATGAAATGTCCAATTTCTGGTGATTTGTTGAAAAATAGCAAAATATGAAAAATCTCTAAAACTTGGTTTTTACCTATTCCTACATCGATTCAGATTTGTTGCATTTTAGGCCCCCTTCACGTCCTGGAAGGAATTCGTCGAATTAGCTCATAAATAAAAATATCAAAACCTCTCTACCTCTAAACCTCATAAAAACATTTTGAATTTTTCGGGAGTCAATATACTCGTAGCTGTGCACCGAATTCAAAAGTCGTGTTTGAAACGGCTTTTTTTGGGATTAATATAGCGTTATTTGAAGATACAGGAATATACTGATGATGGTTTATACCAGGAAACTTAAGAAAGCGTTTTCAAAAAAAAATGGCGCGAAGTAGGTTGACTCTGCGCTTCCCACGCAAAGCCCATATCATTACATGAAGGAATATATTCAGCACAAACTAGATACATCTGAGTCAGTCAAACAGGCCCATGCAGTTACTCTATAGACATGCTTTCCCCGCCCTACCGGTAATGCCTCTGGAAACGTCGCCTTTCCCCTGTACCTAACTCGGGCAGACCGTGGTAGCGCGGTGAGAACATAGAAAACACTATGCTGTTGCTCGGCAGAAATACGTGTGATTCCATACCAGAACAGTCATCACGCGGTCGGCTCGCGACGCCAGAAGCAGCCGCGGCCGATAGGTACGCAATCCGTCTCCCTAGAATATTTTTCTGGGCTAAGGCCCGTATCGTAAGTCGTCCCTACAATCGTAGGGCACGTTTATGGCCTCCTTGATTGTCATACTCCTTTCTCTCCTTCAAAAATTTCTTGTTTACACTTGTCCCGTGTCAGCGTCAGCGCTCTCCTATT